TCTTCCAAGTCCCCGCTGACCAGGGTCCTTATATCCTGATTGCCAGGAGCACTGACTGCCAGCCTCCTAGTCATCAGTATCACCAGCCACCTGTGTCTCTGGTCACTAAATTCTCTAACCATTGCTGCCTTTGGTGCCCAGTAGCTCACCTACCACCAGGATCTCTGGGTGTCTCCAGCCATTGAATGTGATCACCTATGTCTCCTCTACACTCAGTCATCAAGGATATGGGCACCAGATGCTTCCTTCACTAACACTCCTGTTGCTCACATCCTCAGTCCCCCATGTCCCTGATCAATGATGAATGATATATCCAATCAGTGATCATGCTGATCACCAGAACCTCCTGGTCCTCAGTGTACAGCCACTACCTCTCTGATCATGTGTTTGAATGAGATCATGTCCCATGACACCACTGTCTCCAATTACTAGTCATTCTATTCCTATGTTCCTGATGGATGACTTCTTTTGGCCCTAATCACCATCTCTGGTACCCTGGGTCCACAACAATTAGGATTTCTAATGGCCAACCTGCTTGCTGCTTGGCAGTCCTGATGTCCACGTGGTCCAGGGGGCCCTTCCTTTCATTCTTCCCATCCCAGACTGCTAGTGCTGGCAGGGTGCTTGCTTGGACCCAGGGAAGCAAGGGTCCTATGGAGGGCAACATGCCTCCTGTGGGGTCCCAGATACTCCAGCCCATCAGGAGGAGCAACCCTGGGACTCTGACTCAGGAGCCCTCTGTTCCTGCTATGCCATGCTACCACCCTACCTGCATCCTTTTCCTGTAGAATAGAAACCTAGAGCAGGTAGGAACCAACCTCGTGTATAGCTGGATGGGCACTGGCTTGTTCATCTCAAGGCACAGTGGTCCTCTCAGCCTTTCCCCAGCTCACGGCATTCTGGCCTCCCCTCCCATCAGCTGTAGCCACAGTGAGGGCAGGGATGGTCCTATCCTTCCATGCCCTGGCTCTTGACTGCAGGATTGTGTCTGTATGATCATGTACTCAAGTGTGCATGTCTGCCTGCCTGTTGAACACCTCCTACACACCAGGAACTCTTCTAGGTATGGGGGCTTTATCACTGAATGAAACAAACAGGAATTCCTGCCCTTGGGGAGCTTACCTTCTATGCAGTAAACACAATAATGACTCTACCTGGCCTCTGGCAAGCCATCCTATTACCTGGCCCGAAATCCAGAGCCCAGAGCCAGAACCTGGAGTCCAGAGCTTTGAGGGCACAACTGGTCCCCCAGGACTCAGGAACCAGACCCAAAACACAGAGCACAGAGCCTGTACCCCCAAAATCCAAAACTTAGAGCTTGGAGCTCAGAATCTAGAATTTATATGCAACTGGGGTCGAGAATCTGGACTTCAGAATCCAGATCTCAGACCATAGAGCCCAGAACTCAGGGCCCTGAGCATGGGCCCTCAAATCCACAGCCTAGAACTTGGAGCTCAGAACCCAGGACTTAGTGCCAAGGATGTGGAGCCCAGGGCCTAGAATCTAGATCCCAGAGCTGCAGGTGGCTGGACTCGAAGGCCAGAATCCAGAGCCCCCGCCCCCTGTTTCTCTATTACTACCCTGGTCTTAGCTCCTTCCTACTACCAATCAATATTTTTGGAGCACCCAATGGCAGGTACTGTTGAAGGTGCCAGAAGCTGCCAGGAAGAAACAAGTAGATGAGCGGATCCCCTCTCCCTGCAATGTCAGGTCCAAGAGGGAGGGGACTGGCTCTGCTGTTCACTCTCCGGTCTCCATTGCCTCTAATGGGCCCGCGTAGGTGCTTCCCCAATGTCTGTTGGATAGATTCATTCACATATCCCACGTATGTTTGTTGTCCCTGTTAGTTGTTGGTGCTTTGGGGTGGGGATGAAACACATACCTCTTGCCCTGATGGACCAGCTCTCTCTGGCTGCCAGGAAACTCTTGGAGAGAAGGGATTGTTTCTGACAAAGGCAGCGGCCAAAGCTGGGGAAGGCCGTGGTGGCGGTGGTAGGGTGTCGAGTGGGTGACCACCAGGAGCGGGGAGGCAAGTGGCTTTGGAGGCCCTAAGTTCAAGCCCCAGGCACTCCTGCCCCTGCAGCTTCTGTTCCCTCCTCCATAAAATAATCAGCTCCTAACAATGACTCCTGCTGCCCAGAGGCATTGTGCGGGTAAAGAGTTTCGATTTTGTGGCCTTAAAGCTCCCAGGCAGGGCAGGGCAGGGCAGGCAGGCCAAGTGTCGCAAGTGGCCGCCTTAGCAGGGAGAAGGTGCCTTTATGATTCCACGGGGGCCTGGCGCCAGGGCGCCTGGGGTGGGTTGGCCTTTGTTCCACTTGTTTGCACCCAGGTGGGGCTGGCCAGGCCCAGGGCCCCTTCCTCCCTTCCTCCTGCAGGGATGCCTCCAAGCCCAGCTTCTTATTCCCATTTTCTGTAGGAAGAAACCAAGGCCCCTTTGTAATTTGTAGAGACCATCTCTGTTCCTCTCCAAAGGTCCCTCCCGCCTCCTGGTGACCACTACTAGAAATAGGGAAGGGGGAAGGAAGGAAGGAAGGAAGGAAGGGGGGAGGAAGGAGAAAGGAAGGAAGGAAGGAGGGGGGAAGGAAGGAAGGAAGGAAGGAAGGGGGAAGGAAGGAGGAAGGAAGGAAGGGGGAAGGAAGGAAGGGGGAAGGAAGGAGGAAGGAAGGAAGGAAGGAAGGAAGGGGGAAGGAAGGAAGGAAGGAAGGAAGGGGGAAGGAAGGAAGGGGGAAGGAAGGAAGGGGGAAGGAAGGAGGAAGGAAGGAAGGAAGGAAGGAAGGGGGAAGGAAGGGGGAAGGAAGGAAGGGGGAAGGAAGGGGGAAGGAAGGAAGGGGGAAGGGGGAAGGAAGAGAACAGCCTTCCCAGTCCCCAGGGCCACAGAGTGACACTGCCCCAGGGGAACAAGATTTGGGAGGAATGTCTGCCATCTACCTGATGGAAGGGAAGGACAAACTCCCCTGAGAGGCAGGGAAGCAGGCAAACACCCAGGGAGCTCCTCCTAAGGAGAGTGGGCTGCTTCTGTGAGTTTATAGCACCAGACAGTAGATCAAACGTCCACTATGTGTGAGTGTGTGTGTATGTGGCGGGGGGGGGTGTTAGGCAAAATGATAAAATGATTTCAAACTTTACTTATAAAAACTAACAAGACCAGCACAAGTCAGAAAATTAAGGAAAATAAAACGAGGCGTGTGTGTAACACGTTCCAGTACTAAGATTCTATGATCACAATCTTTCAAACCTGCGGTTCTACTGTAAGAATAAGGAGATCAATGGCTCAGAGTCACGTAAGCCCGAAATAGACCCTATTATTTACAAGATAATGGATGATAAAGGAGGTATCCTGGATCAATGCAAGGGTGGAGGGTTATTCAAGCAAGTGGAGTTGGCACAACCGACTGGTTAGCATCTCACTTGGTAAACACCTGACTCCGGGATCTGAAACCAGCGTCATGTGGCCTTATCCAGCCAGCAGACAAATTTTGATTTGGCTGCATGATGTTTTGCAAAAGTATGGATGAGTTGCAAATGATTTTCAATTAGGAGAGTCACTTAAAAATAGGCAGAAGTCCTGGTCCCAAGGGGCCATTTTTGCCTCTCTCCCTTCAGGAAGCCCCGCCTCTATCTCCACCCTCCCCTTATGACCACACCTGCCTGGGTCTTGGGGATGCTGCTGGAGTCCTGACACCATCACACATATCCTAGCACACATTCAAGACCTTTAAAGAGTTAGTCTTGAAACCAACCACTGCAACCCACCTGGATCACTCAGGTTGGTTTCCCCACAGATAACTTGGCAGAGGGACCCCAAACCTCAAGGTTAAGTTCAGCCTTCTAGGAACCAAAGAGGGAAAAGGAAGTTGTTGATATTGCAAGATGTAAAAGCATCTGCAGCAGGGAGGGAGTGGATGGATAATTTGGGATCGTGCTTTTGAAACGAGCTCCAAGATAATTCCAATGCTACGACTCGAATGTTGAGTATTCATCCAAATACCTTTTGCAGGAAGCTCTGACATGAGATGTTTGGGATATTATTGTTTATAAACCAGGAGATTGGATACAATCTAAATGCTCAACAAAAGGGAGAGTATGTACCCAAAAGAATTGGAAGAAGGGACTCGAACAGATAATTTGCACACCCATGTTTACTGCAGCATTATTCACAACCGCCAAGAGGTGGAAATAATCTGAGAGTTCGTCCACAGGTGAAGGATAAACAAAATGTGGTCTAGACACACAATGGAATATTATTCAGTCTTAAAGAGGAGGAAAATTCTGACACATGTTACAGCATGGACGGACCTTGAAGACATCATGTTCAGTGAAAGAAGCCAGTCCCAGAGAGACAAATACTATGGGATTGCACTTATATGAGGCACCTAGAGTAGTCAGATTCATAGAGACAGAAAGTAGGGTGGTGGCTGCCTGGGGCGGGGCGGGGGGCGGGGAGGGGACTGGCGAGTTCGTGTTTCATGGGGACAGAGTTTCCGTTTGGGAAGATGAAGAAGTTCTGGATGGTGGGGCTGGCTGCACCAATGCTACTGAACTATATACACTTCAAAATGGTTAAAATGATAAATGTTATGTTAGGTGTATTTTACCACAATAACCAAGGGAGGGAGAAGAGGGACCTATAGGATTTCAGCTAGAAAGCCTTTCAAATGCTTCCTAAAGGTTAGGCCCTTAGAGCCAAGTCACGGAATAGAGGTGTATGTGTAACATGATGACGACAGTGATTACAGCATCTAAGGGGAGAGAACTGTCACCAAATGTTGACAAATGGTGACATCTAAGTCATACTTTCCCCTTTCTTCTCCCCATTTTCCAGCTATTCTGTAATAAGGTTTAATAGCTTTAATGATAAAAATAATATTTAACCATGATTATTGCAGAATGGGGGGATAATTTTGCAAAATATGCAAAAACCCAAATACAAAAACACAATAAATAATAAAAAGACCAACTGCCACCTCAAAAAAAGAGAAAAACAAGTGAAAGACACAGCAAGAGGTCCTTCCCTTTAGAAATGTAAATAACCATTCCAACATTCCGACGGGTACTCTACCTCAGAAAGAATCAAGTACATGCAAATCATACATGCAAACTACCATGGGCTGCTTCTCTTAGCAGAAACGGAAGAGGCTGCCGTTGTGTAGACTCTGGCACATGCCGTTGACGGGAGTGTCGATCAGAATTCTGCATGCTCTCTGGCCCAATGAGCCCTCCTCAGGTGCACCTCACAGAAACACTAGGAAAAGAAAAAATTAAGTTGCAGGGGGGTTTGGTGGGTGGGGAAGTAAACTGCAGAATATATAAAGCATGGCTCTTTTGGGCTCTAAAAATATTTGTGTAGATATAGAAAATAATCAGGGAAGACACATACCCAATGAACAATAGCTGTTAGTTTGGAGAAGTGTGATCATCTGGGGTGTCGGGGGGCACTTCTCACTTCAGAAACTTGTGCTATTATTTTAACATGTTGTGATCATGTGATCATGTGCTGCTTTTGTGACATAAAAAATAATCATGACAAATAGCTGTTTTCTTTTCTCTGCCTTGTTTCTGACTGCCCTCTCTCCCTGGGATGTTCTCCCTTCAGATTGGCCTGGAGAACTCCTCTTTAGCCTTCAAACCCCAGTCAGAGATCCTAGAGGAAACCTTATTTGAGTTCCCCTTTCCCTGAGCCCCTCAGGGCCTCCCCAGTCCCTAGCCAATGTCACTCAGGGACAAGGACAGGCTATGGTGCAGACACACCTGCCTCTTCCTTGCTGTGCAGCTCCGAGTAAGGGGTTTAGCTTCTCTGAATCCTGACTTTTCCCCAATGAAACAGATCACATCCTGAAGGGTGTTCTAAGGATAATATGAGGAAGGCAAAGGGTCCTCAGTTCTTGGAGAGCCCACCTAGCAAGGAGACCTTCTTCTAATGCTATTTCAGCCCACTGGGCTTCAAACTGAGCCCCCACAAGCTTCTCCACCCCTAGAGCCCAGGGTGTGTAGGGGCCCCGGGCAAGCTGCCTGCCCTTTCTGTCCTCCTTTCCCACGCATCCCTTAAGGCTGTCAGGGTCCCTTAGGAAAGCTGGTGGGTACCTGGCTATTTAGTAGGTGCTTTCAGTATTGTCCTCCATCCTGCCCCCAACCAGTCAGGGTCCCCACAGATCATCCCTCCTGTACAGCTGGGGAAACTGAGGGCCAGGCAGGGATGGGGGTCTCATTTCCTGGGAGGGGACAGAACAGGATGGCTCCCACTGGTATGCAGGCTAGAGCTGGGGGGGTTTCCTCCTCAAAGAGGGGACTTGGCGGACCCTGCGCAGCTGCTTCCTTCCACCTCCCCATCTGTCCCTCCCCAGCCCACAGAGCAGGGCTCCCTAGAGGACTCTGGGAAAACGCTGTCCTCACTCCTTCTCCCTGCCCCTCCCACCCAGGTTCGGCTGTGCTGATCTGGGGTGCGGGGCTGGGATCCAGGTTTCCCGGGCTTTGAGGGGATGCCAGGATGGGCCCCTACCTTTGCTCAGAATTTAGGAATGGAGGGGACATTTTTACCCAAGCCCACACCCCACCATACCACCACTGGTACCATCCGGACTTCACCCCTGGGCCCTCTTCTCTACCGCAACACCACCCAGCTCCATCCCTTCACCTGCTCCATAGCTCTGGCATCCTACAACCTGTCTCTTCCACCATAGGGATCTTTCTTAAGCTTTTTATTTCAATTATGAAATATTTCAAATATCCAAAACTATAGCTAATACTATAACAAACGCCCTGGTACCCCTCAGTACTGGTTTTCTGGGCTGCATAAGAAATTACCACAAGCTTAGCCACTTAAAACCACACGCATGGATCATCTTACCATCTCTGTGGGTCAGAAGCCCAGGCATGGCTTAGTGGGGTCCTCGGCTTAGGGTCCCACAAGGCTGCCGTTAAGCTGTTGACCAGGACTAGGTTCTCAACAGAGGCTCGACTAGGGAAGGGTCTGCCCTGCTACTAAGCCTCCTCGGGTTTGAGCACAGGCGGCTGCCTTGCAGCTGTGGGATTCACGGCTGCTTGCTCCTTCAAAGCCAGCCACAGACAGACACTCTTCGGAGAGTGGTCAACACATGCGAGTTTTAGGTAATGTCCTGCAATCCCGGGAATGACATCCTATCACCTTTGCCATATCCTACTGCTTATGCACATCACAGTCCCATGTCCCGCCTGCCAGGAGGCAGGAGAAAGGAGGCAACTCAAGGTCCCTCTGACACCCCCTCACCTCAAGTTAAGAAAGAAAACATTATGGAATCTTGAACCCTCGTAGTCCTATGGCCTGCCTGCCTTCCTCCCCAGAAGTAGGCAGGGCTTTATTACTCCCCTGTACGTTATATGTTGACTACGTATGTATGAACCCTTATGCCACGGATCATATCATCCTGCATGTTTTTACATTTTGTATAAATGGTATCGTAATGGTTTTTTTCTATGACTTACTTTTTTGTTGTTGTTTGCCATCACGTTTACGATATTCTTTCACATGAATATATGAAGTTCTGGTCCATTCATTTTTCGCTACAGTATATGCTATTCCATTGTATAAAGACAACGCCATGTATTTGCCCATCCTCCTGTGTTCCCTTATAAACAGGGCCCAGGTGGCTGCTCTCACCCCTCTGCCATGTGCAAGTGTTTCTCTGGGAGCATAAGCCCAGAGGTGGAGTCACTGAGTCAAGGGACTTGGCACCCTCATGTCTACAAGATAAGGCCAAGGAATTTTCTGAACTGGTTGTTCCAGTTTATATTCCCACCAGCAGGGTATGGGAATTCTGGTTGCTCCACATCCTTGCCAACACTTGGTAATGTCAGACTTTTATATTTTTACCCATTTGTTGGGTATGAAGTGGAATATCATCATTGTAGAGAGATCTCTCTAGAACATGCAATTGATCACGTTCTCCCTGTGCCTCAAATGCTCCCAAGTGCTCCCCAGCTCGGGACCTGATCTAAGCTCTTGGGTTTTGCATGACCTTTGCAGTCCCCGGCCCTCTACAACTCCCCCCCAGCCCGCCACTCTCCTCAGTCCCAGACTACAGACAGGTGCTCTCCCACCACGTGAGACTTTGTGCCCGCTCTTCCCTCTGCGTGAAGCCACCCCAATGTCTCAAGGCTCCTGCTTTATTAAGAAATAAATGACCAAACAGGTCACCCACCTGTTTGTTTTAAACATTCACATTAAAGAAATGAATGCCTTAGGCATATTAAAAACAAATGCAATATAACTGTGCTCATCAAATGATGGTTTCAGGGTTCAGACCAGAGTTTTCCACCTCGACACCACTGACATTTCGGACTGGATCATTCTTTGTGGTGGAAGTTTGTCTGGTATATTGTAGGATGTTTGGCGGCATCCCTGACTTCACCCCATGAGATGCCCATAGCAACCCCCACCCGCCCCTCCCTGCCAAGTCATGACCATTAAAAATGTCTCCCATCATTGCCAAATGTCCCCTGGGGAGGGAGGACTGACCCCGTGGAGAACACTGATTTAGAAAGAGATTCATTTATAATGCACCCAGTCTGAAATTGCAGCACGTTTTCAGTCCCATGACAAACATCTTCCCACCTGGAAACACTTTTTCCACGACGGAGCAATTTACGTCATTTGGAAAGGACATCCAATGTCTAAATCCAAGGACCTTCACGTGTATGAGGTCACAACCAAAGGCTAATGTCACCCCTCCCAGTAGACCCTGCCCAGGTGTCACCTCCACTGCTCAGCCTTCCCAGATACCCCCAGACAGGTGTCGCCTCTCCCTCCAATGCTTGTTGCAGTTGCATTCACGTGTTTATGTGTGTCTGCTCCCTTTCCTGCAGCCTGGGATTGGGAGGGCCCTCTGGGGGGGGAGGGTAGGGGATCACAGCTGAAATCAGCTCTGTTTCCAGCTCCCACCCAGGCCAGCGCAGGAAAGACTCGTGGATCTGAATGGCAAATTGTGTAGAAATCACCTAGGCCCTTCTCTAGTTGACCCAGTGAAACCCAGATGTGTGCTGGGCTCCAGGTGAGCAGGCCTTGGGGAGGGGCCTGGGGAGGCCAGGGTGGGGAAGAAGGAAAACAGTTCTGGCCAGAGATATGGGCCAGACCTCCCCAGCTGGGTTGGGTAGGGGCATCTCTGGAGACATCATATCCCAATGCCCAGGCACAGTAGAGCTGCAGGCCTTGTGGGAGGCCCGGATGTGTTCATGTGCACGAGTGTACGTTTGTGTTTGTGTGTACAGGCATGCACGTATGTGCAGGGACATGGATGCCTGACACACGTGTGGAGGTGTGGGGGGCCCTATCAGCCTACCCTGTCTGAAAGAGAAGCCTTGTCACTCTAAGCCCTCCTTCTGCTTTGTTTTTCTTCATGGCATCTATCACTACCTGACATTGTATTAGATGTTTATTCGTTATCAGTTTCTTTTGTCTTGCCCACTAGTTGGCAACTCCATGAGGGCAAAGCCCTGGCTAGTGTGTTCACTGGTGTATATACCTGCAGCACCCAGAAGAGCTCCTGGCTTATAGTACATGTATGCGTAGGAGCTCAAGAAACATGTGGAGTTAAGTGGATAGATGAAGGGCTGGCTGGCTGGCTGAGTGGCTGGGCGGATGGATGGATGGACGGACAGATGATTGGGGGGTAGATGGTTGGATGGGTGGATGACTGCTAATAGGAATGTGTGCATATGCATGTAGGCCTTGACTCTGGAAGATACTTCAGGCTTCTTTGTTCTATACTCTTTCCAGAAAGACCCAGGAAGCCCCACATCCCAGAAGCTGCAGAGGTCCAGGGGTATTTGTGGAGGCTGTGGGGGTTGAATCTTCCTGGAGGCTTAGGGCCGGCTGTTGGAAGTGGGATCAGAGCCCTGCCCAGAGTTGCTCCCTGCGGGGGTGTGCTGAGGACTAGGGCACTATGGGTGGGGAAAGGAGAGTGGCCACCCTAACAGGCTGGTGCCCTTTGGAACTCAGCAGTCCCACAAATGATGCCTTTGCTCAGGCAGTAAACCCCCACCAGAGGATAGATCTGAGCCTCCAGACACCACATGGGCCACCACCAGGAAAGGTGTTACCTGGGTTGGGGTTGAGGGGAAAGGACCTAGTGGGCACCCATTTCCACAGGCTGGAAGGGTTGACCAGGAAACCGTCCTGGATGTTCTAGGGAGGGAAAGCAGGTCTGAGCCACGTCTGTGTTAAGACTTGAGCTGAGATCATCCTGTTACCTCTGGAGAAGAAGTCAGGTTGTCCCCACTTCCCATGCCTCACTGTCTGGCGCTGAGCACTCACTGTCCCTTCTACCGGTCTAGTAACCCACCACCTGACCAGCTCTCCATCAGCCTACCAATTTATATGTCCATCTAGCCTTCTACCCATTCTTCTCTGGACCTGTCCATCTACTGCTCTTTCCCTTCACTCATCTGTCTGTCTGGCCTTCCATCCGTCTGTCTAGCCACCCATTATCAACATTGCCATCATTAGGCTAGCAAACCCATATACACAACGTTTCCTCTGTTCTAAGCTGTCCTCACAGCAACCCTATGAGGAAATGCTATTATTATTCCCATTTTACAAATGAGATGTGGAAAATGAGACACAGAGAGGTTGAGTGACTTCCCCAAGAACACACAGCAGAGCTGTCTGACCTGACGGGCTGAGCTCTGAACCTCCCAGTTTTCTGTTCATCCATCCATCTACCCTTGTAGCTGTCCATCATTCAGTCCCTTCACTCACCTGTCACTGTCCATCCAGTGGCCCATCCATCGCTGTCGCCCATCCATCCTGAAGGTAATGCAGTTAGAGAACCAGGGGCCCTGAGGGGAGAGAAGGCCCGGACTGCCCATCTGGCTGGGCCAGGCTGGACTGCGGGGGTGGGGTGGGCTGCCCCAGGCTGGGCAGGGCGGCATGAGGCTGGAGGGAATTAGCCGAGTGACTGCCAGGATCATCTAATTAGGAACGCTAGTGATAAGCAGATAGGATCGAGGGTGATTAGAATCCTTTTAAAAAGCCACTCCATTAATTACAGAGACAGAGAGGGGCCTCTGGCTGCTCAGAATACCAATTGGCTGCCTAATCGGACTCCATCAGCTCGCCCTGGGGAGGGTTCCTGGGACCGCTGTGTGACCTTGGGTGTGCCCTGCCCTCTCTGGGCCTCCCTGTGCCCTGGATCAGGTTCTGCTTGAGATCACCTGGTCACCCAAGATCCTCTTCCTCCAACCCGGCCATGGCTCAGGGGGCAGGCTTCAGGGTGGGCCTGAGACTGGGGACCCGGGACATCAGAGGCTGCAGGCCAGGGAGCCTAGCCCCCAAAGGGAGGACTTTCCACACCCCACGGGCGAATAAGGACAGAGGCTCAGAGAGGGAAAGTGACCAAACAGCCAGTGTGAGTCAGGAGCAGGGGGGCCTGAGCCAACGTCATGCCTGTGCACCCCTGTCTCCCCGTGAGGCCCTGTGGAGGGACCCCAGAGGCCCCGGCTGCTAACACGTTCAGTGTCGGATTGCGGAGGACACTAGGCAGAGCCATTTGCAGAAGGGAAAATCACCTCTGCATGCTGCCTTTGTGGGAAGCGCACCCTGCCTCGCCCTTGTGAACTGGAGAGGGCCCCCTCTGTTTAGAGCACCTTCGGCAATGAGGAGCTGGGATCTGCCTCCCGGGAGTACGCCCGTCCCATGAAGCCTACTGAGTGCTCTGCTCTCTGAGCCCTGGGACAGCTGGGAACCTAGCAGGTCTCCAGCCCTGTCTCCAGCCCTGTCTCCAGCCCTGTCTCCATCCCAGCTACCTCCTACAGACCACCCCAGGGTGGGGCCTCAGGCTGAGCATGGGGCCTGGGGTCAGAGCAGTGCAGAGATCCAGCTAGGTGGCCAGGAGAGTTCCTCCCTGGAAAGACAGTGCGAGGGGAGCCTGGGGTGAGGGGAAGTCTCTGGGGATTTGAGGGCATCTCATCATCCTGGGTCCCGTCTCTTAACCTGATGTAACCACCCACACACTGCCTCAATTACATTGTTATGGGACCTCAGGCTTCAAGTGTAGTGCTGCCATTGTTGCCAACCCCCTCCCCCGACCAGTGTCACGCTACCCCATCACCAGAAACACACCAGCTTTCCTCCCTTTACCGTCATCACCACCACTACTCCCCTCATCCCCACCATCACTGTCACCAACAGCACCACCATGACCGTCCCTGCCTCAACCCAGTATCATCACGACCACACCACACCCCCGCCACCACCATCACCGCCGCCACATCCCGCCTAACATCACCTCCATCACCTAGACCAGGATCACCGTCCTGTGACCTCCAGGATGCCCAGCACTGCCGTTGCCATGACCAGCGTCATCACCATCACTGTCACCGCTGCCACCATGCCACCTCTGACGGGCCACCTCCACCATCACCATAACCGCCTGTCTCCGCCTCAGTCAGGCTTCACGTTGCCTTGACCACCAGTATGGCCTTCATCTCCACCGTCACTATGGTCCCCACCACAGCAACATCCCTCACCGCCACCAATGCCATCGTTACCATGACGACCATTCCCAGCGTCACCTGCAACACCACCATTTCCACCTCCCCTCTCATTACTACTATCATTATCTCCTCCGTCACCTCTGCCACCTTCACCGCCAATGCCGCCTCTGCCACACAGTGTCACCACCTTCTGCACTGTCACCATTATCATGAGCCCACCTGCGCCACCACCACCACCTCCCCCGGAGCCGCCGTCACCATCGCCCCGTGCAAGCACTTGCTGACTGTAACAGGCATGAAGATATTTAATATAAGTTTTCACAACCGTAGGATGACCTGGGGGCATAAAGATCAGGGACAAGTCATCGCTGAGGGTCTGCCTAATGCTCCAAAGTAAGTGGATCTCAAGAGCTCTCTCCAGGAAGCTGCTGGAAGCTCATGTTATTCCAGGAAGCTCCCTGGAGTATCTCAGCCTGCAGCCTTGAAGCCCAGGTGTCTCAGAGGATGGCCGGAAGTTGCTGCAAACCTCCGGTTGTCATCTGCTTTCAGCTTCTTTCTCTTACACTTTCCAAATCGCATGCATTGGCAGACTCCACCTGGGAACCACATAAGGGATTCTGGAAAATCTTCCCTAACTCTCTAGGATGCAGAGGAGACCGTCGAGGAGGGTGGTGGACACCACATCTGCCAGGTCATCACCCTTGGCGTCAGCGCTGTTGCTAGAGCATGTCGTGACTCCTCCTGTTGCCAGCACCCCTCCATGGCTGTCACAGCTCCTGTCAGCCAAGAGGCACTGCCATCAGCACCGGGGCCGCCAATCCCACCATCTCCATCACCCCCACGATTGCCGGCAGCATACTGCAGTATTGCCCACTTCCTCAGAGGATCATGCCTCTCCAGCTGTTGCTGGAGACTTGCAGAACCTTCCTGAAGGGAGTACCATTCCCCACCCCCCACTGATACTGGCCTGGGCCATGTGGCATGAGCACGGGTGACGTACATCACATCCCGGGAGAAGTGTTCAGAGGCACTCCATGTTTCTCGCAGCTCCCACTCACGCCCTCTGCGCCGTGAGAATGGTATATTCCAGACCAGAGCACTCCCTCATCCAGGATCTGGAAGGAGAAGACATGTGAGTTGGAGCCCCTGCAACATGGGTAAGGGCTAAATGTCCATGGTAAGACTCCAAAATGTGGGGGTTGTTACTGAAGCAAAGCCGTGTGACACGCAACTTGCATTAGCCCACTGCCTTCATCCCCATCGTGGCCACCAACGTCACCACCTCCAGGACAAACATCACCACGACCAACTCCCCGATAGTGCCCCTAGTAGCCTTTCCATCACCTCCCTGTCACACCTCCACCATCTCTATCAATACCACCTCTACCACTACCGGTCCCCAGTCACCATCCCCTCCATTGTCACCTCCACATGTTAACTATCCACCACAAGCATGACTACGGTCCCCACCACCAGCACCTCTTCTGCCATTATCAACTCCACTCTCACCACCATAATTACTCCCACCCTCACCACTGCCTCCACATTGACACCACTACCCTAATCACTTCTACTGTCTTAATGATGCCTTTTCACCACCGCACCATCCCCACAATCATCATGGAGAATTGCGTGGGGAGGCAGCTTTCCCCAGCTCCAGTGGACAAGCCTGTCGAGAACAGTCTCTAACTACAGTGACAGAAATATAGTTACGAAAACGCAGAAACATTTTCATCTGTAGCTACATACCCAGTGAACTTACTCCCTGCTCTTCATTTCCTCTACCAAGCGATATGTGTTAGGTATTAGCCCATGGGGTGGATGGACAGGGGGCACAGTGGATAGGTCCTGCTCCTGGTAAGGCGGGAGGCAGTGACCATGTCTGTCACTCTAAGTCAGGCTTGCAAAGTGTCTCTAGGTTCTGCTTTCATTCCTCCTGGCACTGGGGACTGGCTAGAACCTGCTGTCCCCTGCTAGGTTCCTGATGAGTACGGAAGGAAGAAAGAGAGAGAGAGAGAATACAGAGAGGGGTAAGGACCATAGAAAGAAGAGAAGGAAGGGAGCGGGGGAAAGAAATTGGGGGAAGAGAAGGAAGAAGAATGCCCTCCTATGTGACTTAGTGATCCCAATAGCTCTGCTCCTCATTGGTGCAGTTACTAGGTAGTTTAGCATGTGTTCCATCTTAACTGGAGGGGGGTGAGGGGAAGGGGGGAATAGATGTCAATCAACATTGTTAATTGCTATTTCCAAATATGATCTAACATTGGAGCAAGAATTAAAGAAATGTAAATGCCTAAGAACATCTGGTTCCTAATTCACTCACCTTACTAGCTTTCCAGGGCTGCCAAGGCAAATTATCACACACTGGGTGACTTAGAACAACAGAAATGTAACCTCCCACAGTTCTGGAGGTCAGAAGTCCAAGATCAAGGTGTCAGCAGGGCTGCACTCCCCCCTTCCAGCTTCTGGTGACTGCGGGCTCTCCCTGTGCTGCATTGCCATCCCCCTTTTCTGTGTGGCTCTGTAAGGACGCTTATCATTGCATTGGGGACCCACCTACATATAATCCAGGATGTTCTCATCTCAACATCCCTAATTTAATTACATCTACAAAGACCTTGTTTCCAAACGAGATCATATTTGCAGGTTCCAGCGATTAGGACAGGGACATAGCTTTTGGGGGGCCACCATTCGCCCCACTACATTCACTAGTCACACTTACCTGGGTTTTTCTTACCAGAATGGAGTGGAATGCTTCTTTTAATTTGCTGTCCTCAGACAGTGCTGGGTTTGCATCTCTTTCTCTCTCACGGACATACTGTGTGACCTTGAGTACATCCTACATGTCTCGGAGCCTCGTTCATTCAACAAATATTTACTGATTTCCAGGCATGGTCTTAGACACTGACGAACACGCCTGCCTTTGTGGGGCTTACCTCTGAGGATCTGACCTGATAAAGGGGCACAAGAAGAATGAACTCCTGCTCCCACCTCCTTGTCTGATTTTCCACTTGGGGTCCCCTCACTCCATCCCAACAACCCAGCCAGCAGGCTAAGTGGACATGTCCCAGGAAGCCTGCCCTCCCCTCCCCGGACCACGGTCGCCAGGTCGCCCACCTAGGCCCGATCCTGTAGCTGATCCTTTCTCTGCTCCTTGGCTCCTGGGAGCTCAGCCCACAGGCCCAGCATGACCAAGCTCCAAATTCTCAGACCGCCAAGGTGCCGACCTCAAGGGCAGGGGCAGGCCAGTGTGCCCTGGGGGTGCTGGTGCGGAGCTGGGGGTGGCATTTGCCCCGCCCAGGGTTGATGTCACAAAGGGCCCAGCCTCCGCTCTGCAGGGGGATCTGTCCCTGGCCTGGCCCCACTGTGGCAGTGTCCCCCTCCCCCCACCCCTCTCAGTGGAGGTGCCCACTTGTCCCTGAGAGCTGGTACTATGAAAAGGTAAAGTCGCCGGGCAGACCCGCGCCCGGAGCCAGCAGATTCCAGCAAGGCCCCTGCTGAGGGACCCACACCAGCTGCTGCCTCCTCCGAGTCCATCCCGGCCCCCGGGGCCCCAGTGCCCACCTCACCTTCACCCCCGCCTCCGCCCCCTCCCTCCCCTCGGCATGGCCAACTACTACAAAGTGCTGGGGGTGCAGTCGAGCGCCTCCCCGGAGGACATCAAGAAGGCCTACCGCAAGCTGGCCTTGCGCTGGCACCCCGACAAGAACCCCAACAACAAGGAGGAGGCCGAGAAGAAGTTCAAGCAGGTGTCTGAGGCTTACGAGGTCCTGTCCGACTCCAAGAAGCGCTCCGTGTACGACCGCGCGGGCTGCGACGGCTGGCGGGCTGGTGGCGGGGCCAGCACCCCCTACAGCAGCCCCTTTGACACGGGCTACACCTTCCGGAACCCTGAGGACATTTTCCGCGAGTTTTTCGGCGGCCTGGACCCCTTCTCGTTTGACTTCTGGGACGCCCCTTTCAACAGTGACCACGCTGGCCGGGGCCGCGGCCTGAGGGGGGCCTTCTCGGCCAGCTTCGGCGAGTTCCCGGCCTTCCTGGAAGCCTTCTCGTCCTTGGACACCCTGGGCCGGGCCGGCGGCGCCAGCCGCACCACCTTCTCGTCCACCTCCTTCGGCGGCTCGGGCGCTGGCAGCTCAGGCTTCAAGTCGGTGATGTCGTCCACCGAGATGGTCAACGGACACAAGGTCACGACCAAGCGCATCGTGGAGAACGGGCAGGAGCGCGTGGAGGTGGAGGAGGACGGGCAGCTCAAGTCGGTGACCATCAACGGCAAGGAGCAGCTCAAGTGGGTGGACAACAAGTGAGCGCCCGGCCGCCCGGGGCCGCTCACCCGCCGCCCACCGCCCACCGCACAGGCCGCCAGAGTGGCTGATGGTTAATAAATGTGCCAAGTGAGTTCATGGAAACAGCTGGCCCGGATGTGTGGGGCGCAGGCACCTATCTGCTGGGCCGCTGGGGCCCCAGCCCCCATGCGCAGGACTGTGTGCGCTCAGGCCTGAGGGTGCCACCTCCATGCCCGGCCTGCTTTAGTGAGAGGTGCAAGGGTGGTTCTGTGGGTGGTCTGTGAGCTCTCTTGTCTATGTCGTCAGGGCTGGTGTCTGTCCATCTCAACCCAGCCCTGTGCCTCTGCGCTTGCTCTCTGATGGGAGAGAGGCATCATCATCCATCTCCATGTCTCGGCCCCCTGCCCCCTCAGTGATTCATCTCACAGCCATCTTGCCAAACCCAAGTTACATCACATCACCTGCCTTGCTGTTAAACCTGCATGGCTCCCTCTGCTCTAAGCATAAAGACCTCAGGCCTTGTCCTCACCAGAAGGCCCTGGTGGCTTAGCCCCTGCACACCTTCCTGCAACCTTCACTCTCTGAGCTCTGGATATACTGGCCAACCCTCTATTCCTCCACTGGACCAGATGCCTTACAACCTCAGGGCCTTTGCATATGCTGTTCTCCCTGGTATTTGCCCACTCATCTCGAGGCCTTTGCTCAAGCATCACTTCAAGGAGGCCTTCCCCAACACCACTATTCTGAATTAGTTCTCCACCCACCCTACTCTAAAGGCCCCTCATCTGTTTCACCCTGGCCCTTATGGGTTGTCTATGTGATTACTGAGAGATGGGTGCCTCCGTGACTACACTGGAGGTCCAAGGGAACAGGGCCTGTGCTTGTCTCATTGCTCACTGTATCCCCAGAGTCTAGAGCAATGCCTGGCACTAAGGGGCAAGGCACATTATTTGTTAGAAGAATGAATGTTTCTAGGCGTGTGTGTGTGAGTGTGTGCGTGTGTGTGTTGGGGTATTGGGGGATGTGTGCTGATCCCAGGCAGGCCAGAGCAAGACTGACTGTCTGGGAGGAAGTGGGTGCTGGAGCAGGAGATGGGAGATCTTGGGTCCTGTTCAGGACTCAGAAATGCAGTTCGGGGTGAAGTCTTCTGCTTGCCTCTGTAGTGCTCATGGCTGGGCCCCCAGGCTGGAAGTCAGGGCAAGCTATCAGTGTGATGCTCTTGTGGTGGGCACCACCAGCCAAAGGGGTGGTGGGCCTCTTTTGAGCGGTTTTATGGACTGTGGACAGAGGGACACATAGGAGAGAAAGTGAGGCCAGCTATAGGCAGACAAGACCATGGACACATAGAAGGTCCCCTGGCAGGTGTTCTGAGGACTGGGACCGTGTTGTGTGATTTCCCAAATGACCCCGAAGTCGCCCTACATGGGTGGGGGGCTGTGTAGCTTGAGGGTCATGTGTACGGACACTGTGTGCATGTTTTTGACTGTATCTGTGTAGCATAGAGAAGTGGAGGATGGTTTGATTTCAGTCTGCTGCCCCAGTAGACCATAAGCTCCACCAAAACAGGAGCTCTGATCCTGTTTTATGCTCATCTCCAGCCCCCAGCCCAAGGCATGAACATAGTAGATAATAAATATTTGTTGTATTGAGGTGTTTGTGTGGGCATGAGTGGATGCGTTTGTCTAGGAGCCTGAGCAAGGTCTCTACAGCTGGGCCACAGGGCCCTGTCCTCGGCATTGTGTCCTCAGTACAGCACTAAGGCTTTGAAGGAGCCACAAAAGGCACAGACCTCCCATTCTCAGACATACCCAGCTGGGAAGGGAGCAGATGCAGAACTGTTGCCCGCATCAGAAATAAGATGACCCAACCCTTGAGACTGGAGTGAATATCATAATTATGCTCTAAAGAGAAGAAGGAAGTCGGGCTGGGGAGACCTGGCTATGTCAGCCCTGTGTGGACATGGAGCTAGAGATCTTAGTGGACCACAAGTTTGTATGACCAAAGGTGTTAATGAGGAAACGCCTAGGAAGTTGCACGTGCCCTCAGGGAATGGATAGCTCTTCTGTTCAGAATTCTGATCCCACTTTGTGCTCAGCTCCAGGCCCTGCCCTGGGAGAAGGACAGGAGCAGCCTGGAGTGGGTCCAGAGGGGGTGGCTAGGGTGGAGAGAAGGTTGGAGACCTCATCCTAGGAGGAGCTGGGAAGACTCACCTTGGAGAAAGGCAGCCGCGTGTATTCCAGTTGCTGTCCCCAAGTCTCTGCAAGACTCCTCCAGGCCAGGAGAGCAGATGGGTCTGAGGCCCAGGGATCAGGCCTAGGAGCCAACGGAAGGGCTGGGTGTCACGAGGGAGCAGGTCCCGGCCTCATGGAACTGGAGCTTTCTCTAAGTCAGAGCAAAGCAGACTCTCCTAAGGGGAGTGAGCTTTCCCATCACAGGAAGGGTGACAGTGCTGAGTCTTGATTACCTGTGGGCAGACGGAGTGCCAGTCTTTTAAAAATATTGTTTAAGTATATTTTTATTTTGAAACAATCCCAAGTTACAGATGGGTCATGCACTTTTAATTCAATGCAAATCAAGAAATATGTATTGAGCACTTATTATATGCCAGGCACAGTTCTAGGTTCTGGGGATGTAGCAATGGGCGAAACAGATCCCTGCCCTGATGGGGCAGATGTGCTACTGGAAAGCCAGAGAACATTGTCGCGAGTTGTAAGGAATGCTGGAGAGGAAATACTGGCGGGTAAGCTCATAGATGAAGGATGGGGTCAAGGGCATGAGCACAGTAGTGTTTTGTCGGGTGCTTCTGGGAGGCCTTCCTGAGGAGGAAATGGGAATGAAAGTGAGATCACGGACCATGTAGTTATCTGGGGGAAAAGCATTTCTGGGCCGAGGGAACAGCAAACACAAAGACCCTGCTCTGATGAGAAAGAGGTGAAGGTGGATACACACAGTCCCATTTAATGCTCACACTGTCCCAGACTGGTCACTGACCCATGTCACATAAGAGGAAACTGAGGCACAGAGCGGCGAGTCACATAACTGGCAAGTGGCTGAGCCAGAATTTCATCCAGGGTATTTTGACTCCAGAGGATTTACCTTTCAAATAATAATAAGGGTAACAATAACCATAATAATTGCAGCAACCAAGGTCAGTGTGCCTCTGTGTGTATGCGTGTGCATGCACATGTGTGCATGTGTGCCTGTGTGTGTACATATGTGCATCTCTGAAGGATTGGCATGCTGGCAATTCCTTGTTCCTTGGGGGCTGGAGTGGAGCCAGAAATGGAGGTGATTCCAGGTGCCAGGGTTCAAGGCTGATTAATGACAAGGTGTCTGGTTCCCAGTCTGGGAAGAGGGGAGTGTGGGCATGGCCAGGAAAGGTGCTGTGAGTGCCGATCTGGCTGGGACCTGAGCAGATTTTGCTCACCTATGCATCTCAATTCCTAGCCTGGAAGGTGTTAGGTGTCCAATAAATGATGTGAAATGAAAGAAGGTGGGAGCACACTGATCCAGGGAACAGCAAGAACCAAGGGGTGTGCTCAGAGGATAGCCTCTGGAGATCATGAGAGGAGAAGCTGCTGGGAGGCCATAAACCTTGACGGGAGGGTGGGACCTGGTCAAAGATAGACCTGGGAGGAATTCATCCCCATTTCCAGATGCACAGCTAGGCCGAGGGACACCCATCGTGGCAGTGGGGGGGCAGTGCTGGAAGCCTGGAGGTGGCCTGGGTGCTTTTCTCCAAGGGGAAACTTTTGAAGGCTTCTTCTAGGAAGTCAAGGGGCATCACCCCAAAATCTCTAGGGGTTGCAAAGCCCCTCGGTGCTGCAAGTGCCCTGGCCAAGAGGACACAGTAGGTGACCCGGCTGTTGGCCGCACCTCCAGGCTCAGCTTAGCCTGTGGTTTCTTGAGTCCCGCCTCCAGGAGCCCCTGGGACAGGCCAGCAGCTGGAGGTCTCCTAACCACGTTACCAGA